ACAAGGTCTGAGACGTCGCCTCCATGGTGGTGCCGAAACAGCTCCGCTGCTCCGTGTGAAACCGGCTTGAGCCGGAAAGGCAAGGAATGAACAACCTCGTGGCTGACGCAAGAACAAAGCGGCAAAGCCGTGAACATCAGCGGAGGTTCGTCCATTCTTCGGGTCACCAGGTGGTGGTGCTCCACGTGTTTTCACCCAAGGCCGGCACCCTGAAGCCTTCATGTCTGCTTATATAGCTTGATGAAACTGGCCGCAAATTGGTGAGCTTTATACCTTGATGCCGACGTCAAAGCCTGCGGATGAAAGAGTCGACCCTAGGGCTCCAACGAGCTTCTGAGGTTCTGTGGCAAATGTGGCTGGAATCCTAGGGCAGAACATATCATCTGTGTCACACCAAGTTTCTGATGATATAGCTCAAAACATGTACTGACTTTCATCAGGTGCAGGGCAAATCAAAATGGTCATTAATCACTCAATGACTCAAGGTAGTCAATACGTACGTAGTCAATATAACATGGCAACTGGGTGTGTCCGTGTTTAGCACGTCCTTCGCGCACAGCCGAACGTCTTCATGCCAAAGATCGTCTTCCCTCTCTCTCTCTCTCTCTGGCTGTCTTCATGGTCACCCTCTCTCACGCCCCATTTGCTCTGAAAACATCCAAATCAGCTATCCCTACAAGTCCAGTCTGACCCAGTAAAACCTGGTCTTTTGCATCCTTATAAGTAGTGTTTTTGTACGACCACGTCCAGTAAAATGAGGTCATTGACCTGTAGGGTGTCAAAGCCACGCCCTGCCGCTGATTGCCAGGCCCTGCCACACCACCGGGGTCCGCGAGGCCGCCGCCCGTGAGTCCAACGAACGAGTTCTAAGCCTCGCCTTTGCGCAGGCCCAACATCACCCTGGCGTTGGAAGGGGGAAAGCACCAGAGGGGCCTAACAACCTGGACAAATCTGTCCAAGGATGGCGTTCTGCCCGGCTTTCCAAAGAAAAGCAGCCCAAGTTCGGAAGACATGTTGCATATATAGGTGTTGGAACATCCAGGACATGGACATGATGACAGTCCAACGCATGATGACAAGTAGACTCTCGATGATATGTCAAGATCCCCAAGCCTGAAGTGAAGAGGTGTTTACAATCCAAGTGGGAAAGTTTTCTCAATCAAGGGCAGGTGGTCAAATTGACTTTGTGATCTTTGTGGGTGCCGACATTTAGGGCCATGTTCATGTATGCGGACTATTCAATCCCATGGATGGTCTGGGTATCGTCCAGTCCAAGAGCATGGTTCATCTGGTTTTGTAGTGAAAAACCCTTCCCTAGCGCTCCAAGTACCCCCTTAGAAGGTATTTGGACCCTCCTGGCACCCACCCCAGTCCCACCTTCTAAGAAGGTCCGACTGGAGCCCTAGCACTTAGCAAAACAATCAAACACGACGCTCCATGGGACTGGTCTATTTACCGATCAGAGGTGGTGTGCCACTCTGTTCTTCGAAGTTCGACCTGGCGTAGCCAGGGGCCCAACAAACCATCCAAAACCGGGTTTTCCCTAGCAGAAAACATGGCTTTTGTATGTCGAAAACCTTTCTTTTTCATGGTTTGGTTCGGGCCCCCCGGCTATTCATATAATAAAATGATGCTTCGAGAAGTCACGTGGGCGGCTCCCCTCTTCAAGCCTATAGCGTCCGAGTCGTCCGGCCGAGACGGACGCGAAAGGATTCCCCCAAGCTTCCATGACTGGAAGATTCGTCTACCCTAAGCCTCCAACTAGCTCCTGAGAAGGTGGTTGGGGTGGGTGCCAGGGGGGTCTAACCACCGAACCTGAGGATATGGTTGAAGCCCTAGGGCTACATGGATGGGTTGCAGGCCATGGCTACTAGGGTGGAGGCCCTCACTATTACGTTGGATGGGTGTTTTGTTAGTTCCGATGCTTAAAGGCCCTAGGTTAAAAAAGATGCACGGATTATCATAGATTGTTGGGGTGAAGAGGCGACGAAGACCAACAAACATAAACACAACTACACTCACTCATCAACCTCTTACGTTCGCTCCTTTGCAAGGGGGTGCTGAGAGCTATCAGCTGTGGGTGGGCAGGTGTGTTTTGAAATGAGTAGATAGCACTGGCACCCTAAGATGTCCTTTACTGTAGATGTGTCCATATAAACCACCAAACTTGGGGATAGTGCCATCTACTCTGAAACCATTGTACTTGACCAAATCCCGACAGCGTCAAAGCTTCGAAGAAGTCATGTTCTTGAGCTGCCAGTGCGTGTGTTCATGTTCTTCGTCAACAGCACGCTGTGGGGCATGGCACCGTGAAAAAAGATGTTTCCTTTACCCCTAGGGCTCCTGGCCCGCCCCATCTCCTCAGGTTCGGTGGGCATAGACCCCCCTGGCATCCACCCACCCACCACATTCACCGAAACGGACAGGGTCGGCCGAAGGGAGCGTACGCCGGTCCGTATGCAGCGTCATCGTCCAGCCCGTCTTCGTGGTAACTGGACGGGTCTGCGTCACCGTGCCGGCGACACGGACTGGAAGATTGGCAGTCCCATTTAGGGTTGCTTCGACCTGGAGCCTATAGGCAAATAAATTCTGGATTGATCCCACTGACTCCTGTTTTTACAAGTGGTCCACCACCAAAACCTGCTCTGTGTCGCTCCACTTCGCGTCCCTCGCCTCGTTCACTTCGGCGGAATCCACGGAGACCCCGGGCGAAATCGGCACGCTGGAGCCGCGGCAGGGTGCGGTGCACGTGGTCTCCGCGGCAGGAGATGAAGCCGTCGACGCGACGTCTGGGCAATCCTTTGGAGGGGTCGGATCCCGAATCCGGAGGTTTAGGGGTCGAACTGGTTCGGTACCAGTCGAGCGTCGTGAAAACGGAGCGTCTGGGAACGTCCAAAGAAAACACCCAGTCCCGGTCCGTCCCAGGTGCTTCACTCACGTGGGGGTCGTCGGGGTGCGTCACTCACTGGATGAGAGAAAAAAACCATATCACCCCGTCGAACGTGAAGAAACCAAGAAACCAAAGGGGCCACGATGATATTGTCCTCCCCAGATGAAAAAAGAATAGGGTTCCCTGTTTAGTTTGGTTTACTTGCTGTTAAGCGTGCTGACATCTCCATCTATCACCAAGCCCCCCGTTTTCATTAAGGTGCTATTATAGGAGGACACCCCAAACCGGGGGCCCTGGTATCCCTACACCTCCAGTCGCACCTCCTCAGGTTCGGTGGTATTCAACCCTCCAAACCCACCCGGGCACCGGTCGTCCCACTGAAACGAAGGTATGACTGGAGGCCTAGGGTCCTTGGATCATTCCCAAACACTCACTCCATGTACCCAGACGCTCATTGACCCTCATATGGAGGGGTCGGACCCTCATATGGAGGGGTCTGGGGTCTCATATTCCTATGTTTTGAGGGACCAGGAGCCAGGAGCTGTCTGGGTATGGAATATATACCTACATTGACCCCCCGGTTTATGAAAACCGCGGTTTGTATGGAATATATAGGCCTAGGGTATATGAACCCGCGGTTGTATGTTGACCTTGTGGCCGATGTTATGTGATTTCCTGGGTCCCCCAACACCTGGCTCCGCATTCAGCAGCCTCAGTTTGAGGGCAACGCAGGGGTCAAAGCATGGATGTCCTGCACTGATGTGCTCATTTAGAGTGAGTTGATGGAAGGTACTGGAACAAGAACACACGAAACGGCTTCACAGTTGGAGTCACTGGCTTCACAGTCCCTAAGGGTCCGGGACCATCCTGAGGATGTCCTTTGGCCCCAAAGACCATTCTCAGGAAGTACTTTCACCTCCAAGACCATCCTCAGGATGGTCCTGGACCCTTAGGGAGTTGTCTATGTGCAAAAAGAACATCGAAACGAAACACCATCTACTCAAGGCTTGGTGAGTCTGAACATCAACCTCAACCTCTAGCGCTTGTTGGAGGTCTCCTGGCCGTAGCTACGAGTCCGGAGCATTCTTAGCTAACAAATCCAGCCGCTTCCAGGCGAGCCATGCCGCTTCCAGCGCTGGGTGTCCCGTGCACGTAGCGTAAAAGCTCGAGTTCCTGGAGGCCATCACCCCCACACCCAGACGCGACTCAAATGGGACTGCCGACCATAGGACTGCCCCCCCCAAGACCACCACCCCTGGCATGGAATGGTCAAGGAATGGGCTCAAACCATCCATGGGGCTGGAAGAGCGGGAATTTTATAGATGAAAATGCCATGGTGCGCAGTTGGAAGATCTATAGGTACCTTGAACCTGCGATACTATGACCCTGCTGCACCTACTGGTGCAGCTTTGCGGATTTTTCGGCTGCTGCATGCACACGTCATCATTTGTCATTGTTTGTTCCCAGAATCGTTAGGGTCGTTTTAATGGGGGGACATGTATACCAGCACCTTCAAAGGGGTCACCGGCCTGTCTCCAATGATAGACCTTTCCCTAAGAATCAATGACCCTCAAAGGTGAAGGTTTGGTTTGGGTCCAAACCCCTGCGTTCTGCAGGGTCAAAACCCTCCAGTTCGGAGGGTCCAATGATTCTTAGGGTTAGAGATTAATTCATGGATTCATGGGTGTCTAACTGGGTGTCTATCAACCACTCCAAAACACGGGGCCCCTCGGTCTTCACAGAGGTCTTCACCCGCTTCGAACAGGTGACCTGGCCCCTGGCTCGGTGCGTTGCCAGTTCTCGCATCCCAGAATGCCCATCTTGGCCGATCCCATGGCCCATGGGCTCCCAGCTTCACTTCGTGACCGCCATCCGACCGAACCCCTGGCCATGGGAGATCAAGTTCGGTCACGAACTGAAGGTCCTGGAATCGGTCTGACGCTTCCATCTGTCTGCTCGTGACGCTTTCGCCGTCCACGTCCGACGTCGCCCAGCGCACCGGACATGCCAAAGCGGCCAGTTCATACCGATCCCTAAGGGCTCCAGTCACACCTTCGTTTCGTTTCGGTGTTACTGGGGGTTTAAAGGGTCCAGTCATACCTTGACATCCCCTAGGGCCTCAGAGGAGGTACTTGGAGCCCTAGGGGATGTCTAAGCCTAACAATCCGAATACGTGCCAAGATTGGGGAATGTGCAGCGGTTTTAAGCAGCAATGTAGGTCAATATTCCATACATCTTGCCTATCCTGATACCTGTTGAGGGTTTAATAGTGTTTAATTAATTATAGCATAACCTCCCCAGTGAACCAAAGGGGCTATAGTATACCTACGAGTCTGAAAGAGCTCCAAAGGGAGGTGTAGACTCATCTGCATGGTCTGGGCCAGCAGCATGTGCATCCCCGAAAGCCCCAGGTGCTGGCGATCCGTGACAAACACGTCGGGCACCTTCCCGTAGGGCCCAGCCACTGGGCCTTCCCAGCCAGCGCTCACACGGAGCCTGAAGGTTTGGTCGTGGAGGTTGGGCGTCGTGCAGTGGGTGGTTTGTCCCCAACAAGCATCTGTTGATGCAGGATTATCAATGACCCTAAGAATCCGGACCCAAAGCAACACATAGGGTTTTGAGGGCCCGGACCCCTGCGAAGGTGTCGGGTCTGACCCCTGCCATGGAGAGCCCAAGGATTCTTAGGGGAGTTAAAAAGGTACAGTAAAACCTTCAAATGGACAGTCCCCGTCACACCGTTGAAAAAGTCGCAAATGAATGTAGTGACCGTCCCACTTCCGCCATTCTTGGATGTATTCTTGTTGGTTGTTTCTCCAGTCCACATCACAAAGAAGCATGTTTGTCTGACTCCTTCAGATTCCCTGGAAAGTAGAGGTTATATAGTTATATAACCTGTCTCTGCCTGTTCTGGTTTAGTGGGGTGCCACCATTTCCAAAAACCGTGTTTTTCAGGTAATCCACTCACTGAGTATGTTTGTGGACCCCTAATTGGTCTGGACTTCGTCTGGAAGTGGCATTCCTGGATCTTGATCAACAACCTTGAAGGATAGATCGTGGATAGATCATAATGTCATAAGGCCACTCAAGGCTCCCATGCAACCTCATCAAGGTGTCCGACGACAGAGGGTCGAACCAGCCAATTGTGATGTCTTGAGGGGGCCTGTCGGGCTGGTTTCACAGTGTCTGCCGTTGCCACCATCTTCCACACAAGAACAGGTCTTCTGCCGGGATTGTGTTCAACAACCCGGACACCCCATGTATGGAAGGGATGCCCAACCTGGTTTTGCTTAAGGTGATTGTTGATCTTCCCTATGGTCAAATCCCCAAGCATGGGGCATTGTTTCCAGGTTCCGAAACAAGCAAATCCAAGCCAAATGTGGGCAAATGTGGCAGTCCCCTGGTTCGCCTTTGGGCAAGTATCCTCACAAGATCCCGCAAGTCTCCATGCATAGACGTAGCCCCTCTTAGAGGGGAGAAAAAGGGAATCCAAGGTGAATTCCTCTGGGGCCCTTGAATGGGTCGGATTCCGTCCAAGCACACAAAACTTCAAGGCTCTTAGCAACTTCAAGGCTCTTAGCCTGAAACCACAGCCTTCACAGAAGCTGCCGACATCAACTTGGATTTGCTAATCCAGGAACCGCGAAATAAACATGCACCCTGAAAGGGGATTAGCCATAGGCCAAAAAACATTCACACCTGATCAGCCAAACCAAATCAACCACGACATCTCAGGCTCAGGCCTTTGCAGCTCTGGCGTGAAGCTGGCACTTCCTCGCACTACAGCTGTGGCGACATCTAAAGCTGCTGACCAGAAAGCCTCGGCCTCCGAGGGCGCGTGGCGGAAGTGGTTTCGAGGTGGGTCGGACCTTGGGTGGACCTAGGGTGCGGGGCGTCACTCACAGGGCCAGGGCAGATTTCATCTGACTATAGGGCCTGCTTGATCCTGCTTGGAGCATATCTGCGATACCGGAATCCAAAGCCTGAAAGGAAACGGCGAGCGCTCTTAGGGTATCTTATTCTATATATGGTGTACTGCTAGTGCTATGCATTGTCTGCTTCAGTTCCCATCGGGTCCTCACGATCTTCTCTGGTATCTTCCCTAGTATCCATGAAGCACCACCCTGGGCCAAACCACCACATCTCGCAAAGAAAAACCGGTGTCCAGTCTCCATTGCGCCTCGGTGCTCTTGGGTCCACCTGCGACCCGTTTGGGGCGTGGTGATCAAGAGCCTTTTGACCAGGAGTCACATGGAGTTGGGTGGTGTTTGGTCCCATCCAGTGAGTGGATGTGACAGGGGCACCCCTAACCGCCCTAACCTCCATGGATAGCACCAGCACCCCGTCTTGTTCCCTAGCAAAAAACATGTCTTTTGTATATGAAAACCTTTGATTCGGGCCCCTGGCCGGAGGTACAGACTCTGAAAGCATCTGAAACCAATCCCCCCTTGCATTGTGGAAGTTCCGTGCTGAGGCTGCCAGATCGGGTCATTTCATCTCGGTCGGTGGTCAAAAACCACTGTGCTAAATACCCCAAACGCTCCGTTGCCTGGAGGCTTTGAAGGGGGCTCTAGAAGAGTTTGGTGGTGGATCAGTGGTTTCTCCAACCAATTTTCGGGTCACAGCCCGATGTCGGTCCCTCCGGGTCCCTGAACACCTGGCTTCGACCCCAACCGTCTCTATTATGAGGGTCCGGCGTCTCCAGGGTCCAGGGTCTCGTCTGGGTACCAAGTTCGGGTGAAGAGGACATGGTGCGAGAAGTCTCGATATTTCAAAGCTGCAATCTCTTGCAGGATACGGGACAGCAACATCTCCCATTTTGGGATGGTGTTCAGAATGCCAAGGCTGAGAAGAGGGATGCGCAGTGTCCAAAAAGCCAAGAGCTCCATCCGAGTCCTTGAGAGTTCACCCCGGTGACGTTGCTAAACCCAGCTCTTCTTTGGGCACCCCTCACACCCTCTTTGTTCACCCCCAGTCTTCCCTCCTGGAATCCTTTCAGTGGTGTTTCAGATTGTAACTCGTTCCTATACGATCAAATCCTCCAAACTTCCACGCCATTCACCACCACACGGTGCTGCTTTCCTTCCCCAGAAACCTAGGAAGGTAATGCTATGTAATGCTCATTGATCCTCCATCCTACATTCTGGCTCAGCATCTCCATTAGACTCGCGTCAGGGGAGGCTACAGTTGCCAGATTTCCAGCTTGGGATTTGAGATCCAACGGCCATGCTTCGATGCGTTCGTCTGTCAAGTCCTCATCGCAACGGCCTTTTCCTGCGACCGCCCTTTTTCGGCCACGGCAGTGGTCACCGCCATGGCCTGGGGTTCCGGCCACCTGGATGCGTGCCTGCCCCGGGGGATGCGTCACCTGGGAATGGCTCCAAAGCAGGAGGCCCTCCGCGGTCCGGCCCTGGAAGGCCTCGCCGCCTCACGGCGGCCATCGCTGCGGCACCGGCATGAGGCCGCGTGCAAACAACGCGGCGAAGAACGGCTGCGGCGGTCGTGGTTCCAGGCGCAGGTCGTGGTTCCAGGTCAAAGCATGATGAGGTTCTGAGAGATGTCCAGCACTTCGGCCGCCTCCAAATCGCCAAGCCTCGAGTGGGACGAAGTGAGGCCTTGAGGCCTCGCCATTTAGGGAGGGTTAAGGAGGAAGGGAGTGAGGGCCGAAGGATTGGGCTCCAAAGATTTTACTCTTGGGGTTCTCTCTTGGGAAAATCATGCTGAAACTGTTTGGGGTCTATGCTGGTTTAGTTACGTACTGAGAGATGAGGGATGATGAGGGTTCCCGATCAAAAATTGATGCAGGGTGTGGGACTTTCCTGTTGGATGCCTTGTTCAATCCATCATGTCATGCGTATATCTATAGATCAAACAAAGATTTAAGCACTACAAGTCACTACAAAACAAGGCCAACCCTTCGTGTAATTAATGGTCTTGGAAGGCACGTACAAATATCTTTAAACCAAAGCCTCTTCCGCAAGGAAACGGTGTCCATCTCCTCTTTCCAGCTCCTTCTGCGTCTTTTTGAGACCCTCTCCCAGCCCCAGCGGCTCATTGTTGGCCAGCTGGAACAGCGCCTGCCGCGCTGCGGCAGGAGCGAAGCGAATGACACCCGTCTGTCATACACATGGCGGGTGTCGCGGGTTTCCATGCGCCTTTTGGTCCAGCCATACAGAGATCACATGTCACATGCCAGGACCCCCAGGAGTTGGGTGGTTCATGGACACCCCTTAAGAGCTAAGGGGATATAAATAGACACCCCGACAGAAGGGGACTCAGTCGGCTCAAGGGGCCATAAGACATTGAGGGCCAGCAACCAGCAACCAGCGATGTGATGTGACGATCTTCTACCACATGCCCTAAGAATCCGAGTCCGGGCTCTCCATGACAGGGGTCGGCCCTTCTCCACCGAAACGCAGGGGTCCGGCCCGGTGAAATAACTACTTCCCTCAAAGCCATTGTGTTTCAGTCTTGGGATGTGATATCATGTGACATGATTTGATGGTCACCCCGGAACGTTGGATAAGCATTCCGTAGACGTTGACACCAGACGGCTCACTGTCACTCAACATGTGACTCCTCGACATCGGAGGTAGATGGTCCCCTTCTGTGGTACCCTCCTCTGCAGACCACAATGGATTCTGAAAACCACTGGGTGGTAGATGAGAAGAGCCTTTGGTACACACTTACAGGGTCCATGTTCACGGTCGATGTTGAACTATGTCCCAAACGCTCGAAACTGGCCCGAGGCCAGTCCAATCTCGCCGTCCACCGTGGGGCCAGACCCCCCCGGGGTCTGAAGAGGAGCCAACAGAGGTGGACAGTGACCTGAAGAATGGACCCTATAAGAGGTATACCTATAAGATGAAGTGACAGAGGTATGTGACAAAGGTACCTATAGGATAGTCTAGTTCGGGTTACTTCAAACCTCTGCTGGAGGGTCCTCTTTTTCGAGTCGACCCACCAGGAGCTCCGACCCACAGCAGTGGCCCTCAGTTCACCATCCAAAACCGGGTGTTTTCCAGCCAAAGGACATGGTTTCGGTATGCATGTTTCATGGTAAACTGAGGGGGGCCCTGGTGTTCTTTAAGGGAGACCCCCATTCATCAGAGACGACCACCACCTCAAAATGGTCTGCCCTCTAACATGGTAAACCATATTGACGCACAAAAAAGGCACATGGATGCTACGACTGGAGAGTCCAAGTATAGCCAGGTATATAGTTGCGGGTCCCATGAAAAAAGGGTGAGCACAAACCATGGCGCACAAGAATGTAGTGAAGATCCAAACCATTCAAAACCCAATCATACCTGGACCCTCTAAGGGGTGCCCTGTCTGGAAGTGTGGGTAGTGTGGAGTTGTCCATTGGACACCCCGACAGGAGGGTCCTGGTATAAAATCATGTAGTAGATGAGTCAAACCTTGTCCGGCAAAGTGGTGGTGCACTGGTCTTCTTTTGCATTCTCTTGGATTGGCTTAAGAAATCAAACAAACATATCAAAGATTCACCAGATGAGGATTTAAGGAGGAACCGGCAAAATCACCAAAACCACCTGATCAGCCGTCTACCAGGTTCTGTGATCAGTTCTGAGGCGATCCAGCTTGAGCTTTGAATGGATCCACCCGGATTCTGGGAATCCTTCACCCGAGCCGTTTCACTGCAAGCGGCTGCACATGCTGCAGCCTTCGTTCACTTCAGCCGTGTCGTCGTCTTGTTAGGCCAACGCATCATCCACGTTCCGCGCTGCCCCTAGCCCTAGCGCTGCCCGTTCCGCGCGTTCCACGCGGTCCGTGGCGCCTGACCAGACTCGGCAGTTTGAAAGCCACCTTCCACCAGGGCCTTGGCCAAGGCTTTCACCTGTGCGATGCGATCGTTGGGGAAGAGTTCTGCCCGGATAGGATCCGGTCGTCCGGACGGGGTCGGGGTCGAACCCTCGTTCACACGGGTTTGTCAAAACCAAAAGCTGGATGAGCGATATGGAGGATGACCACTGGGGAGTACAAATTATGACCCGGAACTCCTGTAGAAACCCGACTCCCAAGCCGTTTCCCTTGAAAAGCAACGGTTCGGACCCGTCGCGTGGGGTACCCAACTGGGATAGTGGAACAGTCGGCTTCTTCAACCTCTGTTGGACTTACCTGCCCCCGACTTCAAGTACCTTTGAAAAGGGGACATGACGCCATACAAAAACAGGTTCGACTGTACCCATTGAACCCGGGGTACGAACGGGTCGGCTCCAGGTACTTTGCAAAAGGAGCATGCCAGCGATCCACTCACTGGGTCGGACCCCGAATTCAGTCCGAATGGGTCGAGCCATGTCGTGCAGGTGAGTGCCCTCACCATGGAGCAGAAGGAAGACGCATAGTGGAGTCTTTGCGAGCCACATGTTGGTAGGTAGACTTGCCTGAAGGGACACAAAAAAGTAAGCAGCATCCGCTTCGACCAAAGGATGGTTCGAATGGCCGCAGACCCAGCCCAGGCACCTTTCGACGTCTATGACCGGTGTCCCAAGTTGAGGAACACCACCGTCGCGACTGGCGACGGTCGCCTCCAGCCATCGACCGTGTTGGTGGAAGGTGCTGGTATAGCCCTACACCTCCAAGTACCAACAGAGGTGGACAGTGACCTGAACTAGGGCCCTACTGGGCTAACTATGGGATAGTCGATATAGGCTTCTTCAACCTCTGTTGGTACCTCCTCAGGTTCGGTATGTAGACCCTCCTGGCACCCGGGCCCCGTCGTCCCACCCTCCTCTCTTGGTCGTTGGAACCGTGAACCGACCGAACCTCGGGTGGCACCCCCAAGTGGCACGACGCCTCTTCAGGCTCGTCGATGCTGTTCCACTCCAAGTTCACCTTCCAGCGAACCCAAACGCGACCTGTCTGGGACTGCCAGACTGACCCAGAAAGGCCCCAAGACCACCACCCCTGGCCTTTTCACTCTCGGCAGTCCGGCAGTCTCGTCACGTCCGTCACGAGACGGGCGGGTGGCGGGCTGAGCCCCCCTGCGGGCGGAGGTGACGTGACAGGGGCACGCCCAAGCACCGGCACCCAACCACGGCACCGGCACTTCCCCAAAGGGAACGTGACTCCGGAGGCCACGTTTCAGACCAGCAACCCAACTTCACAGGTCACCACTTCTGCGACTGGCTGGCTCAAGTAAGCCAACACAGGTTAAGTGACCGACCCTACAAGGAGTA